TTCATCCTAAAATAAACAACGGGGTAAAGTGGACAGTATTGTAATCAGGTATCATAAAGTCACCGATGGGGCAAGGACCTCAGTCAGGTCCGTTCAGCTCAGCATAAGAGACACTGGTTTCTTGAGCCTCTCCTCGCTCAGCCCACTGGGCTCTGCCTTACAAAGCAGTACTCTCACCTTTACTTTCAATTAATCTGTACTTTACCTATTACCTCCGTGTGTCTCGCTCAATTCTTTGTTTGGGACACCAAGGACCTGGGGTCCAACTGAACACCCCAACAATAACACATGGTTCACATGGTGCTTTTTCCATGTTTCAGTGGTTTATGGACATTTTTCTTTTGAGACTCAGCGTTCTCCGTGTGTCTATAAATTCCTATCTCACTAGTTCCATGTGAATAAACTGGTAAATATCAAGCAGTCTAAGATGAGAATTCTAAAATCCTTAGCAGCTGGGTGCGGTAGTGTGCGCCTATAATCTCAGTGGCTTTAGAGGCTGAGGCAGGAGGATCACAGGTTCAACAAGTTCAAGGCCAGCCTCAGCAACTTTAGGAGGCCCTAAGCAACTTAGTGAGACCTTGTCTCAAAATTTTAAAAATGTGAAAAATGGGACTGGGGATGTAGCTTGGTAGTAAAGTGTCTCTGGTTTCAATCCCCAGCAAATAAACAAAGTCCTCAGCAAATTTCTAGGGTTTTATCTATGTTTGAGGCTCGGTTTTCGTTGTTGTCACTGTTGTTTGCTTGTTTTGGTACCAGGGATTGACCCCAGGGGCACTTAACCACGAGCCACATCCCCAGTCCTTTTATTTTTTTATTTTGAGGGTCTTGCTAAATTGCTCAGGGCCACACTAAGTTGCCCAGGCTTGAACCTGCCATCCTCCAGAGTCAGCCTCCAGCCTGGCTGCAGTGACAGGCACGCACCTCCGCGCCCAGCTGTGCTGTTCTTCCTGCTACTGTTGCCTTTTTGTTTTCGGTTTTCCGTCCGGGAGACTGAGCCTAAGGCACCTGACCACTGAGCTACACTCTCAGTCCTTTTATTTATTTATTCTGTTTTGAGAAAGGTTCTCTCTCAATTGCTGAGGTTGACTTTAAACTTGGAGATTCTCCTGCCTCAGCCTCCCAAGTGGCTGGGCTTACCCAGTCACAGGGATCGTGGGCGTGCGCCACCACACCCAGCCTGGGATTTTTTTCTTGAGACAGGAAACCTGTCATTATTCACTGGTTGATCTGAGGGCCTCACTTTAACTAAAAAGAAAAGGCTAGTAGTTTCAGAGCAGTTAGGCAGAGGAGGGTAGAGAGAAAAGTAGAAGGTACAGTAGGAAATAAATCAATTACTGCAATTTATTCATTAATCATTGATTAAGTGTTTTTTGTGTGTGTGATGCTGAGGATTGAACCCAGGGCCTTGTGCATATGAGGCAAGCACTCTACCAACTGAGCCATATCCCCAGCCCATTTATTAAGCTTTTTGTTTGCCTTTTGCAAGGAGTCTTAGAGAGAAACTTTCTTATCCATTAATCCTTTAGAAGCCACATCCCCAGCCCCACCCACCCCCCTTTTTTTTTTTTGAGACAGGTTCTCACTAAGTTGTTTTGGGTCTCTTTAAATTGCTAAGGCTGGTCTTGAACTTGTGATCCCCTCCCTGCCTCAGCTTTTTTGAGCAGTCAGCAGTTCTGAATTTAGCAGCACAAAACCACAAGTGGTTCAAGGCTCCACCCAAGGGCCATTTCCTAGTTAGGGGACGGGGGCTGTAGCTCACTATAAAGCATTCGCCTAGCACGCATGAGCCCTAGATTCAATCCTCAACACTCAAAAAACAAACTGCACTAACCAAGTTGCCTAGTTAGAGTTAGTTGGCAGTTTCTATTTAAGTTTCTTAAGCTTTATTGTCCTAAGCTATGGCCATTCAAGTGAAGTTAGATTTTACTTAGTACTTGTGTTGAGCTGGGTTTGGGGGTTGCCTACATAGGAGCTCTGAGAAATAGAAAGGCCTGTGGTCCATTTTCAGAATCTGGTATTTAGCCTTAAACGTAAAATTGGGATGTAAGCAAGGCAGCCAGAGAAAAAGAGAACAGGACAGAAAGTTACGAGCAGTTAACTCACATAATAGCGCCACGGCCTATGGATGTGGCAGATCCAAAGTCCATGCACCTGAACAGACCTTTGACAAACAGGAGGGGGGGTCAGGGTCAGCCTGACCAACAGACACACAAAGCTAGGAATTCAGAGCTGCGCGTCAGAACGCACTCACCCCAAGAAGGCTTTCCCTCCACAAGAAAACAAAGGGAGGTGGGAACAACTAAAGGCACATTTCTTTAAATAACCAAGACAGTAAAACCTGGGTGATGTTGGGGAAGACTGCAAAGCCCCGAGTGCTCAGCCAATAAGAAAGCGGGTACCTTGTGCTTTCAGGGATAAAATGCTGACTGTACCCAATCTGGGTGTCCCTGACCACCAGACATCTGATCTTGCAAGATCATCGTTAAAGTCTCTTTTTTTTTAGTACTGGGGAGTGAACCCAGGGGCATTCAACCACTGAGCCACATCCCCAGCCCTATTTTGTATTTTATTTAGAGACAGGGTTGCTTAATGCCTCGCCATTGCAGAGGCTGGCTTTGAATTCGAGATTCTCCTGTCTCAGCCTCCCGAGGTGCTGGGATTAGAGGTGTGCACCACCTGGCCTGGCAAAGTCACACTTGTTTTTTTTTTTTTTTTTGCTATATCTGGTGTCTCCAAGCCCATGTGGGTTGGGGTAGATGAGGGTGTTTCTCAGAGTCACCTCAGGGTATTGGACTTCTAATGAATTCTGCTAGCACCATCTAAGAGTAAAACACCAGCCGGGTGCCGTGGTCCACGCCTGTAATCCTGGCAGCTCGGGAGGCTGAGGCAGGAGGATCGCGAGTTCAAAGCCAGCCCAGTAAAAGCAAGGCGCTAAGCAACTCAGTGAGACCCTGTCTCTAAATAAAATACAAATAGAGCTGGGGGTGGCTCAGCGGTCGAGTGCCCCTGAGTTCAATTCCTGGTATCCACCTCCCCACAAAAAAAGAGTAAAAACACCAAAGTGCTGCCTAGAATCTGAGGGTTTACGGGTGGGGCTGTTCTCTCCTGGACTGGGAATAAGGTGATCTGAGCCTCTTCCAGCCCAACACTCTGGTAGATGAAGGAGAAACAGCCTGAGGGCCTCCACAACCAGGTCTAAATCACTTACTTACCTTCCTGCTTTAGACTCTAGCACCTTCTTCCCACCCCGTGACTGCTGATGTGGCTGAGCTCTGCTTTTACAGTGAATTCCCAGACTTCAGCTGTGATGGAGAAAGGGCCAGTTGCCCATCTGCTTAGAAGCAGGAGATCTGAAGAGTCTAGTGACATCTGTTTTTTTTTTTTTTTTGGCAGGGGCTGAAGCTCAAATCCCCCAGTACCCCCCCACACACACAAAAATTAAAAATAATAATAAAATTAAAATTAAAAAATGGATTTGAAACAGATCAAATCTGAGTTTTATAGTAGCGACCAGTGTGTGTGTGTGTGTGTGTGTGTGTGTGTGTGTGTGTTTGTACTGGGGATTGAACTCAGGAGCACTTGACCACTGAGCCACATCCCCAGGCCTATTTTGCATTTTAGAGACAGGGTCTCACTGAGTTGCTTAGTGCCTCACTGTTGCTGAGGCTGGCTTTGAACTCTTGATCCTCCTGCCTCAGCCTCCTCAGTCACTGGGATTACAGGCATGCGCCACTGCGCCTGGCCAGTAGTGACCATTATGAATATGGTATAATTTGCTTCTACTTGAACATCTGAATGAGCTTCCTTAACTATAGAATGAAGATAATAAAACCTGCTCCATGTTGGTAGAAAGGCAGTAATGGGGGAGAGGGGAGAGAAAATCCCTAAACGTTTGTTTAAAGCGGTTCTTCCAACAATTTTCATAGAATAATATATGATTAGAGTTTTTTTTACTTTACTGCACTGAATTCTGCTTAAAGACTATGAGCAAGTCAACAGATGAAACTCAAGTGACAATGAGGAATTTAGTCGCTGTTGCTCAAGCCTGGACTTGGGGTAAAACTCTCAGACATTCCAACCTCAGTGTAATTTGAAGCACTCTCCTTGACAGGTGACCCTCCTGCCGCAGGCTGCTTGAGACCCGAAAATTAAGAACTTCACCCAGTTGCTCTAAGGTCATCACCACAAAAGAAGTATATTGAGTTACACACTAAACACTGTGGATATAGTCTGGATTACTATGAGAAAAAGAGAAAGGAGAAAATCCACAAGGCTTATGAGCCTCCAAAGAAGGCCGAAAAGATGATTGGCCTCAAGATTAAGGTCAACTGTGGATAACTCCATACTGATTAATGCAAACAAAATAGAGGATCAAATTGGGTGAAAAGAGAAAGACCCAACAAAAGAGCAACCCTCCACCCACCGGGAACGGTCCTGCAGGACAGAGAGGGACAGTCCTGAGCTAACGCGCTGTCTAATGTGATTAGATACAAACAAAAAGAGAAGGAGGGAAAGTGGAAAGTCCCTCTGCCCAAAGTTTGTGCCCAGGGAGAAAGAGAATTATTAAAAGTTACTCAAACAGAAAAGAGAAAGGAGATGTGGAAGAAGATGTTTACTCAAATCCACTTTGTTGGAAATGGCTTTACAGGAAAAGCACCTAAAATAGGAGAATTCATTAGCCAAAGGGCTCACACTTCCAGAAGGCCCCAGTAAGAGATCCTGAACTAAGAGCCACCTTTTGCCTCCTGACACAGGTGTAAAAAAGAGTCCCCCATCTCCCTGCATGATTTGGGGTGTTGATGACAGAGCTACTGTCACTGAGGGGAAAGAAAGGGACTTGGGCCTGGAAACACAGCACACAGTGTTATTGGGGGGCAATATGGCCCAGTCTCCAAATCCTAAAAATGACGGCTGGGAAATGCTGTCTCACAGGTTTGACTTCCTCCAAGTGACTCCGCCTAATTACAGGAGGCCGCACACCAGACAGAAAACACCACTGCTGGATTCAACCACACAGCCCGCGAGCGCCAGGAGAATGATTTATTAAGTTGTGGAAAGAAAAATGACAACAAAACAAAACATTAAAATGGCCTCTTTTTGTTTTGTTGGAGACAGGGTCTTGCTTTGTTGCCGAGGCTGGTCTCAAACTCCAGGGCTCAAGCGATCCTTGGGCCAAAGTCTCAGGAATGCTGGGATCACAGGTGTGCAGCTCTGTGCCTGCCAACGTGGCCCCGTCTCACAAATCGGGCTTTGTCTGGAGGGGTCTGCCTAGATTTAGATGTTCAAAGAATATTCAATCAATTTCTAAAGCAGTTACACAGGGTCTTACTTCTTTGAATACATTGGACTTAATAAAATGTATCATCCAAAAACCAAATAATTAAAATCCATTAAAAAAATGGACATCTTATTTCATCAGTGTTGGCATCAGCGAGAGGGTACCTAGCAATGCAGACCGGTCGTTACTGGAAAAACCAGTGGTACCGCTGAAAAAATGTGTTTGCTCAAAAATTAGGGTATTCTTAAATATGGAGGGTAAGCAAGGAGACTTTGTCACACCTGAGACCTCACCTCTAGAATCTTCCACCTCACTTTTTTTTTTTTTTTTTTTGGTGAGGGGTACCAGGGATTGAACTCAGGAGCATTCATCCTCTGAGCCACATCCCCAGCCCTAATTTTGTATTTTATTTAGAGACAGGGTCTTCCTAGTCTCATTGAGTTGCTAAGTGCCGGGCTTTTGCTGAGGCTGGCTTTGAACTTGCCATCCTCCTGCCTCAGGCCCCCAAGCCGCTGGGATTACAGGCATGTGCCATTCACCCAGTGTCCACCTTACTTTTTAATCACTGATTCTAGGACTTGTGACATTTACTCGTGGTGATGTTTGTTACGTTCATAATGGATTTATATTACGTTAAGAGCGTGTGAGAGAAGACATACTACACCAAATAGAAAACAACTCACACCAAGAAGAAACTTCCCCTCTATAATTAACCCTCATCTTCTCCATACCGTAAGTCAATAAATTACTATTTTTAAACTTCTTTCCCCTCTTACTCATCATATATACTTGGAGCTGTATTTTCGACTTGAAACATATTTAAAAAAAAAAAAGATGACAAAATACTAAAACCTGTGTATCTCTAGCATTTCCTATATGCTAAACTTAAGATTGTATACTTAATCCTTTCAGGATGATATTTAAAATTGGTTTAGATTTTATTTTTAAAAAGAAATGACTATTAACTGGGTGTGGTGGAGCACATTGTAATCCCAGCAACTCAGGAGGCTGAGGCAGGAGGATCTCCAGTTCCAGGCCAGCCTTCTCAACTTAGCAAGACCCTGTCTCAAAATTAAAATAAAAAGAGCTGGGGATGTAGCTCAGTGGTGTAGCACGTGCCTAACAAGTGTGAAGCCTTAGACAATCCCCAGTCCTGCTAAAAAAAAAAAAGAAAAGAAAAGAAAAGAAAACAAAAAGAAAACAAAAAGCCCACTTCTAATCCTTGGAACCTGTGACTATGTCACATAGCACATGGGAATTCAAGGAGCTCATAGAATTAAGGTTGCTAATCAGCTGAGCTTAACATAGGAAATTGGTCTGGCTTGTGCAGTGAGCCCATGTCATTACAGGGCCCTTAACTGTGGAAGAAGCAGACAAGAGAGATGATAAGACTCAGCCCACCATTGCTGGCCTTGACGATGCAGGAGCAGCCACAAACCAGGGAACGTGGGTGGCCTGAGAGTCCGGGAGAAGCGAGGAAATAAATTCTCCCCTTCATCCTCCAGAAGGGACTGCAGCCGGGCGGACCCTCAGATGTTAGCCCAATGAGACTTCTCATCTGCAGAGCTGTAAGACAATAACCTTATGTTCTTCTAAGCCACCAGGTATGTGGTAATTTGTTACAGCATCAGTAGAAACTAATACAGGAATTTAACCAATCAAAAGCTCCACAGAGCAATAAGAGGATAAAGGTAACTAACCAACTCTTGGGTCAGTCTTTTACCAGTTTGCTAACTTATTGGTAGGGTTTAGATATGGCCTGAATGTGTCCCCCAAAGAATCATGTGTTGCAAGCTTGGTTCCCAGAGTGGCAGTGTTGAAGTGGTGGAACCTCTAAGAGATGTGCCCGGTGGAAGGTCCATAGGTCATGAGGCATCACCCTTGGAAGGGATTGGGGTGATTTGTGGAGTGTGTTCTCATAAGGGCAGGTTGTTTCTCCCACCATGTTGTGACATAGCCAGGAGCCTGTGACTTGCTGACATCATGCCATTTGGACTTTCTAGCCACTAGAACCCTGAGTCAAATAAACAACTTTACTTTATAAGGTACCCAGCCTGAGATATTTTGTTATAGCTACAGAAAATGGACGAATACACTTACATACAAGATACTCCATTCAGCTTCATCCCAGAAGATCATAAAAACGGAACCACCCAGAAAACAGAGATCTTCCTAGTCTCAATTTTGAGTTAAACGATAGAAGTAATTGTGACCAACCTTCATAGAGCCCAATCTTGCGGATGGGCAGCCTGAACAGGCTGACATAAAAAGTACTTTAGACTGAATAATTTATAAGAATAGAAGTTTATGTCTCACAGTCCCAGAGGCTGGCAAGTCTAGGATCAGGGGGCCATGGCAGTGTCTGGTGAGGGCCCAGTCTCTGCTTCCCGGAGGGGTCCTCTGGGTCCTCACATGGTGGAAGAAGGCTGGGGTGCTGCCTTCAACCTCTTTTATAAGGTCACCAATCCCATTCAGAGGGTGCCACCCTCAGGACTTAGTCATTTCTCAAAAATCCTCACCTCATGATATTACCACATTAGGGGTTCAGTATCACCATAGGAATTTGGGGGACACCATACTCAGGCCACAGCAGAGGGAATAACCTTCCCAAAGCAGTGGCTCTCCCTGTGCAGTAAGATGGTAGACGTGATCAGCTGTCTCCTGGGCTGGTCTCTGAATGTTCCACTCACTTACCTACATGATTGCTTTTCTCACCCATGGAACACCTCACTCAGCGTCACATCAGAGGGTTATCAAAACGGAACCGTTCAGAAAATAGCCCAGTCTCCATCCTGAGTTCGATTTATTCATCTAATCGTCAGAGGCGTCCCCAAGCCAGTCCCTAAAGGCCAGGCTTCCTGCAAGCCGTGGCTGTCCACTCCCGCCCCCCGCCGGCCCCTGGCTCCTCTAGGGTTTCAGCTGGAGACAGCAGGCTCCTCCTCTGTCCTTCAGTGACCTCTCCATAATTGATGCACCCCTGTGGCCCCGGGGAAGCCACACTTCATGTCAGTGTAGAAAGGATTTTAACCCTTCCGGTGCATGTGCGCTGGGGAGGCAGGAAGGGTAGAGGATCAAGGCCTCCGTCCTAACTAAGGTCAAGAGGAAGTTACCAAGCACTGCCGTGCTAGGGTTTTTCCTGGGCTCTGCTGAGGCAGAAGGAAAAGAAAACTAAAGAATGATACCATGCTCCCTGTCCCCAGGAGCCCACCATAAACAACTGGAGGAAAGAAGGGTCCCGTCGGAGGCGGGACCTTTACCTGCAGTTTCTAAACTGGGCTCCAAGAAACTTCCTGCTCTGCCTTCAGCCAGATCTCCTGAGGGCGCCGGTGGCCCAGTGCACAAGACACAGACCCCCAATAGCTCCGCAACTGATCATGGTGACGGTTGCACATTGGGGAAGCGCTAAATCGTACGCTTGAAAGAGGTTACAATGGCGCTGGGCCCAGTGGTGCACCCCCGTAATCCTAGCTACTCGGGAGACGGAGGCAAGAGGATCACAAGCCCAAGGTCAGCTGGGGCAACTTAGCAAGACCCTGTCTCAAAATTATAAAAAATAAAAAGGACGGGATATACCCCCTGGCTGAATCCCCTGTTTCACAAACACACAAAAAAATCAAGATGGTAAATTTTGTTTTATGTTCTGTTCACTTCTAAAGCCTCGGATTCACTCTCCACTCTCTTCTTTATTCACCTACATGACCAGCCCATTAGGGACTCTGGTCACGTGTTCCTCCAGGAAACATCTGAACTGTCCCCTCCATCTCCCCTCCACCTAGCCCAGCTGCGCTTCCCCTCCTGACTCACCCACAGCCCGCTTCCCCAGCAGCCAGAGTCAGCTTTTGAATGCTTAGCTGAGATCACAGTGTCCCCTGCCTGAAACAATAGGTTCCCCCGGCCCTTGGGATGAATGCCAAGCTTCCTCCCAGGTGTCCAGGTCCCAGAGGCCCACCTCTTGCCACTTCTTGCTCCTCATGTCCCAGCTACTCTGTTTGTCTTCCTGGTCTTTTAGCAGGCCACACACACTCCCACCCCAGGGCCTTTGCTCTTGCTGTTTCCTCCCCTGGGAATGCTCATCCCCAGGTCTCTGCATAGCCGACTCTTCCCGGCACTCAGCCCTCGGCCTGTCACCTCTCTGTCCCACGTCCCCTTGCATTTTCCTCATAGCCCTTGTCACTCCTTCATATTTTCTCGTCTATTTTTAAAACCCTAGGTGGTCCATCTGCTCCCCGAGAACACAAACGCTACGAAGAACAGGAGCCCGCACTGCTGTCCTCAGCTCCTAGAATAGCCCATGACAGAAGTGCTCAGCAAGGATTTATGAGCGAATGGGTGAAGAATTAAAGTGGGAATATCACTTGTAGTGGGTTAAGTGGTGTCCCCAACGAGACACGTCCCTGCCCTAGAACCTGCAAATACACCCTTATTAGGAAAAAAAAAAAAGTCTTTGCAGATACAGTGAAGGATCTTGGGATGACATCATCCTGGATAACCCTGATGGGCCTGACATCTGATGACAGGCGTTCTTAGGAACACTGACGGGGAGAAGGCTCAGGGAAACAGAGGGGGCGGGTCTGGACAGGAGAGGGCTGGGAGCTCTGCTGCCCCCTGCAACCTCCAGCATCCAAAGACGCAAGGATGGGTCCTCCCCTAGAGCTCAGGAAGCCCAAGACCCTGCAACACCTTGATTTCTGATTCCTGGTTTCAACAACAAACCTCAGTATTTGTAGTGCTTTGCTACAGCAATCCTAGGAAACTACCGTCTCTCAAGGGCCTGCCCTCAGGATCCTTGGTCTTCTGTTATATTCTTCGTGACTGTCCATTCCCGCTTCCGGGGTACTGTTCTATGACTGCGCTGCTAAAGGACACATGTCACTTTTTCCTCCCACCCTTTTTCTTAACTCCCTGTTGGAGGATGAATTATATTCCCCAAAAAGACATGTGGAAGTCCCAGTACCTGTGAATGTGATCTTAGGTAGAAACAGGATGCTCACAGATGGGATCAAGTTAAAACATGATATATTGCAATGGGGGTGGGCATTAACCCAACGACTGGTGTCTTCATAAGGAGGGAAACTTCGACACAGAGACAGACACACACAGAGGGAACACAGGAGAGATGGAGGCAGAAGCCAGAGTGGTACAGCAAGACGCCATGATATACTAAGGCTATCAACCACCAGAACTGAAGACCCCTAGTTTAGGAAGGATTTTTCCCTAGAGTCTTCAGAGGATGCATAGCCTAACCTCTCTTGATTTCAGATATTTAGCCTCCAAAACTGTAAGAGAATAAACTCCTGTTGTTCCAAGCCCCCGGTTTGAGGGGGCTCCCTGTTAGGGCAGCCTTAGGACATTCATTACTCCCCTGTTCACCTTGCTTTGAACTCCTCTGCCTGAGTGGTGCGTTCACTTTGGTGCTAACCAACTACGCAGCCAGTATGTGATTATCTTCCCCATGGTTTTCAGAGTTCCACCACCAGATTGCTAAGGGGAGGCTGTTAGCACTTGACTTCACAGCAATTTGCTAGGTGGTGTCCGAGTAGGACTCAGTAAATAGCCACTGAATGATGGGTATGGAATATCAACGCATCGGCTCAGATGGTGGTTAGAAAACGATGACGCAGGCATAATGATAGATCCAGAGAACTTGGCAGCCACGAAAACTCCGGGCTGACACGGTGTGGGTTTAATTTCAGCCTTCTCTGCACCTAGTCTGCCGTTCCTTCGACCTCAGCCTTTAGATCCTGCTGCCTGAGTGGCCCTGAGCCTTGTCACGGTGGGGAGGGTTTGTAATCCTTGTTCTCTGGCTCCTACTGTAGAACTGTCAGAATAACCGCCTGCTGGCCACCAAGAGGGCCAAAGGTCAGCGCATTTGGTTCTCGGTTCTTTGTTTGCGCCATCTGTCTGGGCACGTCCAAGTCTGGCAAGGTTCACTGGGACCTTCCGAAGCAAAAGAGGAAGGGGCAGTGGAAGAGAAATTAAGAGGAGAAAAGTCTACAAGGAAGCCCCAGGGAAGAGCAAGACCCTCAGAGTTGGTGGGTCTGTGGAAAGTTCTGAACTATCAACGTGGGGCTCCTGGCCTCGGGGCATGAAGAAGGATCCTGGGTGTGTAGTTAAGGAAGCAGCCACATTAGGGGAGAGTGGACGACCTTCTCCTAAGTCCCCGCCTCTGGCTTCTTCCATTTCCCGTTCCTCCTCAGCCTCTCTGGGGGTCCTTGTGCTCCTCTACAACAGAACTGACTGCTCACTTTGTAGGAGGGATGGACTGTGGCCAGGGCACATGGGGGTGCGTCCCGGACAGAGAGGAGAGGGACGTCTGCCGCAGTCTGGCTGGGCACAATCAGGAGCCACTTGTCAAAAGAAACTAACTTTATTTTTAGAACCACACACGCCAAACAAAACAGCCTCTCAGGAAAAACCCTCAGAGCCTCAACTGCCACCACCGGCTTTCCACAAGCCTCTCTCTCCCAGACAAGCTTCTCTCCACCTCCCACAATCCTCCTGCTCTTGAGGCCAATTGGCTGGGTCACGTGGGCGGAGCCAAAAAAGTCCCCCAATGAGCAGCTCCGTGGTCTGAAAGGGCAGGGAAACAGCCCAATGAGCATCACCGCAGAGGAGCCAATCAGCTAGATGTTGCTGGGGCCGAGGAGCCAATCAGCTAGATGTTGCTGGGGCCGCTGTGAGCCAATCATCAGCCGGCAGCTGGAAGTTTGCTGGGGCCCCTTCGGCTGTGGCTCTCAACAGATGTCTCTCTTTTCCACTTCTCTCTCTTTTGTCCTGTTTCATGGCTTTTCCCCTTTTATTTCCAAATGCAGAAAGGAGGAAAAAAATTAGTGTAAAGCAAGAAAAGAAAAGGGCAGACGGGAGTTGGAAGGCGATAAGAACGAGGACCGTGAAACGCGGGCACTGCCCACGTCACCTAGGAAGGGGTTCTCTGCAGGTCACCTGAGGAAGGTCCAGCCAGCAAGCAGATTAGGGGGCTCGATGCCTTCTAGAGAGTTAGGGTTCAGGCTGGATTCCTTCTCTATGGGTAGAAATTCTAAACTTCAGGCAACAGCGATTAAAAGTGGCCGCAGAAGACAATGCACTTGGCAGGGGAGAGGCTGCCACCTGCCTCAGAAGGTACAACCTGAGAAGTGAGGCGGGGACATAGATGATGGGGACACACAGGCACGCGCACACACACCCCCACCCCCACCCGTGTGCACACACTGACTGAGAGCAAGTCTGCCTGGGCTTTGGCTCGGGTTAGAATGTTCTGAATGGGTCCTGGTCATGGCCAAGGCAGGATGGAGGCAGGAAGCTGGGGGGCTGGCCTTTGTGCGGCAGTGCTGGGATGAGCCCCGGTGTGAATTTTTAACAATTATTTTATTCTCGAATAATACAAGTGGCAGGGAAAGGTAGCGCAGGCCTGTAATCCCAGCGGCTCAGGAGGCTGAGGAAGAGGATAGCGAGTTCAAAGCCGTCTCTGCAGTGGCGAGGCACTAAGCATCTCAATGAGACCTGTCTCTCAATAAAATACAAAACAGGGCTGGGGATGTGGCTCAGCGGTTGAGTGCCCCTGAGTTCAATCCCTGGTACCCAAAACAATAATACAACTGCACACACAAAATAAAATTTATACTTTAAAATAAAACCCAAGTACTAAACATGCATAGAGCTTCCCACAATCTGGATTTTGCTAGGCACACCACAACAGTGCAGCCCAACATGTCCCTCTGTCTTCATTATCTGCAAATTGACAGCTGAATCAGAGCCTCACAGAGACCCAGGTCCATCTGGGGACCCCATGGTGGCCACACTGAATGGACCAAGCCCAGCTGGAGAGATGAGAGAAAGATGGCACAGCTCTGGAGGGACAGA